GGATTGGGGGGATTGGGGACACTGGGGACATTGGGGACACTGTGGACAGGGAGGGGACAGCCAGGGGATTTGGGGACATTGGGGACATTGGGGACAGTGGGGACACTGGGGACAGTGGGGAATTGGGGGGATTGAGGGGATTGGGGACACTGGGGACATTGGGGACAGAGAGGGGACAGCCAGGGGATTTGGGGACATTGGGGACACTGGGGACAGCAAGGGGACATTGAGGACAGCCAGGGGACAGTGGGGACACTGGGGACACTGGGGACATAGTGGGGATTGGGGACAGTGAGGACAGCGGGGACATCAAGGGGCCATTGAGGACAGCCAGGGGATTTGGGGACATTGGGGACACTGGGGACAGCAAGGGGACATTGAGGACAGCCAGGGGACAGTGGGGACACTGAGGACAGTGGAGGGGATTGGGGACATTGGGGGGGATTGGGGACATTGGGGACATTGGGGGGACTGGGGACATTGGGGACATTTTGGGGGACTGGGGACACTGAGGACAGCCGGGGGACATTGGGGACACTGGGGACAGTGAAGGGACACTGGGGACACTCACCCAGGTCCAGCGCTGTCCCCTCTGTCCCCCGCGGGGTCCCCTCGGCCACCCCGGCCAGCAGCAGGAGGGGGAGGGGCAGCGGCAGCGCCGCCATGGCCCCGCCCCCAGCCCGGCGGTACTGGGAGCACTGGGAGGGACTGATGGGAGGGACTGGGAATGAACTGGGAGTGAAATGGGATGGACTGGGAGGGACTGGGAATGAACTGGGAATGAACTGGGATAAACTGGGAGGGACTGGGAGAGACTGGGAATGAACTGGGATGAACTGGGAGGGGCTGGGAATGACTGGGAATGAACTGGGAATGAACTGGGATAAACTGGGAGGGACTGGGAGGAACTGGGAGGAACTGGAAGTGAACTGGGATGAACTGGGAGGGACTGGGAATGAACTGGGAGGGACTGGGAGGAACTGGGAATGAACTGGGATAAACTGGGAGGGACTGGGAGGGACTGGGAATGAACTGGGAGGGACTGGGAGGAACTGGGATAAACTGGGAGGAACTGGGAGGGACTGGGAGCCCCCCAGCAGCTGCTCCCAGAATCCTTTGCTGGAATTTCCCCCCCTCCCCCTGCAACAGCTGCAGAGGGGGCGTGGCCTCGCCATGACCCCACCTCCTCATTTACATACCGATAAATATTCATTAACCTCCATTAAAAACCACCCGGGGGGACAAAATCGACCCAAAATGCCCCAAAATTTCCCCAAATTAAAAAAAAAATCACCAAAATTTCCCTCAAACTCCCCCAAAATTTCTCCGAATCCCCCAAAATTCCCCAAAATCACCCTTAAATTCCCCAAAATTTCTAAAATCCTTCAAATCTCCCACAAAATCCCCCCAATTTCCACCAAATCCTCCAAAAATTCTCAAAAAAAATCCCCTCAACTCCCCCAAGGTCCCCAAAATCCCCCAAAACTCCCCAAAATCCTCCCCAAATTCCCACATTTCCCCCAAATGTCCTTCAAACTTTCCCAATTCTCCCAAAATAGCCCCCAAACTCACCCCAAAATTCCCAAATTCCCCCAAAACGCGCAGCTGCCGCCCCTCCCCCCCCCCCGGCTGCTCCGGGAACAGCTGGAAAAGGGGGGGAGGGAAGGTTTGCTAATTAACTCTTAATTAATAACCACAATTTCTTAATTATTCATCATGATTAGCTATTATTTCCCGTTATTTCCTAATTATTTGTCATTATTTTCCATCATTAGCGGTTTTTTCCTAATTATTTCCCATTGTTAATATTTTTTTCCCATTTTTAATAATTATTTCGCAATTATTCTTCATTATTTCTCACCATTAATTATTTTTCCCCATCATTAGTAAATATTCCCAATATTAATAACGATTTTGCAACCAATAATAATTATTTCCCAACACTTCCTCATTACTTCCCAATTATTTTTAGTGATTTCCCATTATCAATCATAATTTCCAATTTTTAATCACTATTTACTAATTATTAGCCATTATCATACCCATTAATTAGCAATTATTAGATATAATCACCCATTAATTAGCTATTATTACCCCATTATTAGCCATAATTCCATCATTATAATATTATCAGCCATAATTATTATTACCCCATAACTACCCATTAATTAGCGTTAATTACCAATTTTCTCCCCGTAACATCATTAATTATTAGCAGCATCTCCCCCTTTCCCCGTCAACAAACCACGCCCGCTCATTTGCATAACCCCGCCCCTAACTCCGACACCCCCACGTCAATCATCCGCCATAACCCCGCCTCCTTCCAGCCAAAACCCCTCCCTCTACCCTCACGACTAAACCCCGCCTTCCGCCCCTTCCAACCAATCAGCGCTGTCGCTAAGGGAGAAGCAGCCAATCAGCGGTGTCGGCTCTCGGGGGGCGTGGCCTCGCTGCCGTGAGGGGGAGGTGGCGGCCGCCATGTTAGAGGCGGCTGAGGGCGAGCGGGTTGGGGACGTATGGAGGCTGTGGGGGCTCTATAGGGGCGGTTTGGGGTTCCAAATGGGGCTGGGGGCTTCTCAAAAGGGTCCTGGGGGGATTTTCAAGGGGTTTGAGGGCGGTATAGAACGTGGGGGGGGCGGGGTGGGCGTGCGGGTGTGCGGG